GTGCCTGACTGGGCCTGGCCACACCCAGCTCCCAACCCCTCCCCCTGGCTGTGCCCGCCTTGGGTTCCCAGGTCTCCTCCTGGAACAAGTCTGATACCGAGCCCAAGTGGCTGCCCAAAGTGGCTTGCCGTCCTGGTACACTCTGCCCTGGACAGGCCCTCAGCCAGCTGGCCCCTGGGGACCTGCTAGGTCCAGCCCACAGCAATGGGGAGCCAGACTAGAAGCTGGGTCCCTACCCTCTTGCCTCCCACCTCAGCCTCAGCCTCTCTCCTTGTTCTGTGCTCCAAGTGGGCCATTCATCCCTCTCTCAGGGCAAGAGCAGAGTGGCCGACGGCCCCCCCGCCCGGTCTCCTAGGCTGGGGCCCAAGCTGAGACACAAATTCAAATCCAGATAAGACTCCAAACATGCCCACCAGCTCAGCTGCCGCCCCCTGCCTGGACAGAACGCCCCCCAAAGGGGCCCTCGGGGGCCACAGCAGGGGAAGGGGGCAAGAAGCACCCCTCTCCAAGGCCAGTCCTGCCCAGTCTGGTGCCCAGGCAGGGAAGCCGGGTATCAGAGCCCTGGTCCTCCCCACCCCACTCAGGTGGAGCCAGGAAGCCTCGAGCAGCCTGATCCCACCCCCACCCCCATCGAGGTAATGGGGGAGGGGCGGGGAGGGAGGCAGGGACCAGAGACCCCAGGGTAAAACCCAAGATGTGGGCCACCCAGTCCCCAGGGCTTTCCTTCCTACTGGGGAGACCCCCTCACTGGAAGTGGGGGAGGGTCCGCAGGGGAACAGAGGGAGCTCCTGGACAACCTCCCCAAGATCATTAAGTTGGTCTCTGGGGCTCATGCCTTCTGGGGGGTCTTCACCAGTAGGGGGTGGGAGAGGGTGCCCACCTAGCAGAGGTGCATCTGAGGCCTCATCCCTACAGACCCTCCAAGACCCCAGCTCAGGGCTAAACACCGCGCCACCGCACGAGCACAAAACCCTGCCAATAACTTGGAGGCAAGAAGCCTGTCCCAGAGCCACGGCAGTCCTGCCCCAGGTTTATTCACAAACCACTCAGATATCAGCCTCTGCACCCCTCCCACCGCCGCCCTGCCCCCACAACCAGCCACCCTCCTTCACAAACACTTCTCTACCAGGAAAAGCAACCACCAGAGGTAAATAAATAAATCCCGGACACAGAAAGCAACGGAAAGCAGGGGGAGATGAGGCACTTAAAAGAAAAGAGGCCACGAGAGGGGAGGGAGAAATGGGGAGGCGGGGGAAGTGAGAAGCCGGGTCTCAGCGCAGACACAGCCCAGCATTTCCAGCCGCTCCTGCCGCTGCCCTGGCGACAACTTCAACAATAGCAGGGGCGCCTCCTGCCCATCGGCTGCCCCCGCTGGCCCGGCCGCTGAGATGCCAGCCAGCCCTGCTGGGGCGGGGGCTGCAGCAGGGAGGGCCAGGCCCAGGCACATGCCAGGCAGCCCGTGGGCCAGAAGCCTCGAGACCACAAATGCACCACGCCGGGCCGCAGGCGGGCGGCCGCACAGCCCGACCCGCTCCAGACCAGGTCCTCCGCCCGGCCCTCGGCAGGGCCCCTCGAGGGTGGCTCACCCCGAGCTTCCTGCTCTTCATCTTCACGTAGCCTTGCTTGACGATGTCGTTGAAATTGGTCGCCATGGTTTCCCCACTGTCTCTGGGGCTCCTGGGCTCGGCCGAGGCGAGGGGAGGGACGCCCAGGTAGCCTCGGTTTCCAGCTCCTCCGATCACCTGTTCAAGACACTCCGTCGGGGCTGCCTCCCCGGGCAGCTCCTCACCTCGCCCGCCTCAGCATTGTTCTAGCAGCTCCTTTGCCCGGTGCCTGCTGGAAATAGAATGACAGGGAGATTAGACAGTGACATCTTTCTCTTCCCCTGGCTGTCTCGCTCTTTTTTCCTTCCTCTTCCCACACTCCACCCCTCCCTCCCTCCCTCTGCCCGCCCTTATTCCTCCCCTTCCCTCCACACCCCAGGACGACAGAACCATTCAGGAAAAGCGAGGTGGAGGCAGCAGCGAGGAAAATGGTCCAGCCCAGTCCCCTCCCTCAGGGCTGGGCTGGCAGTTAACCCCTTCTTGGGAGGGCTGGCTCTGGCTTCCGCTGTGGAGGTGGGGGCAAAGGAAGGGAGGGGGCGCAGGACCTGCTGTCCAGCCCTGTCTCCTTTTACAACTTGGGGCAGACTTAAAGCAACTTCCTCAGAGCAAGGCCCCCTCCTGTGCACATGAGCCCCCACGGGAGAGCCTGCCCAGAGATGGGGGGAGGTCCCAGGAGATGGCACCGAGTCTGGCGTTTGAGTGAACCCCACACCCTGGAGGTTAAGGACAATTTGCTTTGTCAGTCTCAGCAGACCCCCAAATCCCCCTGCCCCACCCCACCTATACCTCCAGCCCCAGGCGGGAGGCTGAGAATCGTCACCTCAGGCCCTGCTCCCAGCCCCTGAAACTCCGCGGCAGCGCCTCTGGGCACTGCTTCCTGGGTGGGAGGGCAGAGTCCAGCAGGGCGGGCCCCCAGATAAGCCTCAGGAATGTGCTGGGCCAGTGGAGGTGGCCACTGCGGAAGCAGATGCCTCGCCCTGGCCCTGGTGCTGGGCCCTGGCTCTGGCCAGGCCATGCAGTGGCCTCCCCGTCCCAAGCACGGGCAGGAGTTAATTACAGGGAGAACGAGCAATCCGAACTAGAATTGGGGTCTGGGGCAGAGGACACAGCTGGACAACAGTGAAGGGTACCAAGGGGACATCAACATGGAACGAGAAAAGAGGTGCCAGCAGGGGCCACTCAGAATCAGGGAGATCAAGAGATAAGGAAGACTCAGACTCAGGGAAGAGGGGAGTGTCTCACGGATGACCCAGTCCAACCCATTTTACAGATGGGGAAAAGAAAGTTACCCAGAGAGGATAAGCGGCATGGCTAAGGTCACACAGCAAGCCCTGGGCACAGCCAGGGATGAATGAGAAGTTCCAGAGTGGGTGATGGAGGCAGGCCCAGGGTGGAATGTCCGGCGGCCATCTCTGGCTGCCTGCCACCACCTAAGCCCTCTCTGCCATCCAGGCTCAGCGGCAGGGCTGTGCCAGCAACATGGCCCCCCATGTTTCCAGGATCGCTGGGTGGGAACAGAGCAGCATTTCTGGGGTCAGCTGGGCATCTGTGCTGCCAGGACGGGGCCCCAGGGCAGGCACGCTGCTGGATCTGCCAGCAGCTTGGCATTAATTAATCTCCTGGAGGCCTGCCTATTGAGGCCCTAACAAGGAACAGATGGGACTACCCCAGTGGGCACACGCGACACAGGGAGGGGAAAGAGGGTAATGCTCCCTTATCCCACTTGCACCCTGAAAGCCTCTTCAGCACCCCCTCCGCTGCCTCCCTGCCCATTCACTCCCTCTGTCCAGCCCCCTGGGGTCCAAGACCCTCCCACACCCAAGTGGTCTGCTTTCTTCCTGTGAGGTCTGGTGTGGGGTCCCTTCCCTGGCACTGACCCCCAACAGCCCTGCTGCACCTGGGCACTGGCAGTCAGAGATGGGTCAATTTTCCCCGCTCTGTCTCCACCACCTGTCCCTGGGCTGCCTTGCCCCCATGCAAGGACCAGCCCATATAATTCCCCTCCGGGATGACAGCAGGCCAGCCACTGGCTGGGCATCCGCAGCATGGAAGGCCCCTTTCAGAACACACCTAGGAGAACACACGGGGCCCCTGGGTTCATCCAAGGCAGCCTAGGATGTGGCACAGCCAGAAATGTGAATCTAGCTGGCCAGGGGGTTCTGGGCAAGCCACTTAACGTCTCAGTGCCTCAGTTTCCCCATCAGTAAAAAATAAAAAAAAGAGGACAAATTCACCTACTTTAAGTGAGGAAATGAATCCATGAGGCACCTACCTGCCCCCTTTGGACCCAGAGCTCCTGCCCCGAAAACTCCAAGGGCTGTTTTTATTTCGAGAGCTGCTGCCCAGCCAAGGGCTGTAAAGGCAGCATAACCCAGCCTTCCGCGGGCCCAGTGCAGGCCTGCTCCTTCCTGGCTCCACGAGGTACCTTCCCAGGGACATGCCAGAGTGACCGCAGCTCTCAGGAGCACCCCTGCCATGTCTATCCTTAGGCCCACACCCCACCCTATACCCCAAGCGCTAGAATCAGCCCCACAGAAATAAACCAGCTGAAAGAGCAACCTTCCAGGGGAAGCCTGGGTGGCACAGGGCCTGGCGGCTCTCTCTGGCCCCGAGTCACCGGGAATGCTGACCATACTCAGTCCCTAATGAAGTTTGCAAGAGCAAGACCCAGCCTGGGACCCAGAATGGTCGAACAATGGGGAGTCGGGGGGTAGAGAGGGAGGGAGAAGGGCCAAGATGTGGACCCACAAATCTGATGGGCAACAGGATCAAGGTGAGTGGGGGGACCGGAGCCAACCCATCCCCCCGAGGGGCTGCACTGTGTTAAGCAAGAGAGGCAGCCCCCAGGCTGAGCTGAGCAGGCCAGGAACCAGGCTGAGGCAGCCCCTGCCCTGCCGTCCTGGGGGCCACTTTCCCCGTCACTCCTGTGCCACCAGCTCTGCCTCTCATGAGCCTGCTGCAGGGAGGAATGCCCCACTAAATGGAGAGGACCTGAGTTCTCAGGCCTGGGGGTTCAGCTGTGAAGCTAGAGAAGCTAAGCAGGGTGCCCAGCAGCCCCCTCAACACTGCAGCGGGGAGCAAGGGCCCCCCATTCCTCCTCCCAGCCTGGTATCAACACCACTGCTCAACCAGAGACAGCACCACCAACCCGCCCTGGGCCAGGCCACCACTGGCCTCTCTGCAGAGAGAGCGGGACTCTGAAACGCCCCTCTCCCCAGGAAGGGCAGGTGCCCTGTTGGGGGAGGGGGGAGGGAGACTCCCTGGTGCCCAGCAGAGGGGCGGGCAGGGCCCACCTGCCCCATGGCAGCCACTCTGAGCACTTCCTCCCTGCACCTGGATTCTGCCTGGAGGCTTTGGCTCCAGAACAAACGCCACTCGCTGCTGTTGGCAACCAATGACTGAGCGGGAGTGGCTGCCCGCCTGGCTGGGCCTCCTCACTCCATGACAGATCGGATCTTATCGGGGCTTCAGAGACCGCCCCACCTGGACCCGGGCTCAGTGTCCGCTCGCTGTCTCTGCTCCATGGCAAAGATCCTATCGGCGGGATTCTCTCCAGCACCTGGGACATTTCCCATCACCTGTGGTCTGGCTCTCTCTCCCCCAGTGTGATTGTGGTCAGGGGCCAGGAGGGGCTCCCCCGCCCCGCCTCCGCCCAGGAAAATCCCCACAAGGAAGCACCCCTGAAACACTGCCGCTCTCATCCAAGGTGGGGGGCAAAGACAGATCAAATACCCAGCAGGCAGAGAGGACCGGCGGGAGGAGGGGACATCTGAACAGCCTCGGTGTCTCCTGGGCCCTTAAGTCAGGAAAGTGGTGCTATGCCCCCACACCACTGCCATCCGCTCTCTCCGGGTCCCCTGCCGACCCTTCCAGCCTCATCTCTCCCTTGCTCAGAATGCTCTACCATGCTGGCCTTCCTCCTGTTCCTCAACACACTTAACTTCTTCCCACACAGGACCACTTGCTGTTCTCCACCTACAACACTGTTCCCTCAGGTGGTCCCAGGGTCCATGTTACTGCTTCATTTGGGTCTTGGCTCAAAGGCTGCCTCCTCAGAGAGGCCCTCCCTGACCACTTGGCCAAAGGGGCCGGGCCAGTCAGCCTCTCTCACAACATCCAGTCTCACTGTCTTGATCGCAGGCATCAATATAGGATTTTCTTGTTCCTTCAACTGTTCGTTTGCTACTCACCGCTCTCTGTCTCATAGAAGTCCCTAGAATGTCAGCTCCCTGATGGCAGGCCTTGTCTGTCTAGTTAAGAGCACCATCTGGCACCTAGAACAGTGCCGAGTGCAGAGTCTACATTCAGTGTTTGGGGACTGAAAGCATAACGCTCTCCAGGACCTGCCTTCCTCATCCTTTCTCCCACGACCACCAACATCCACCTGGCGGGACCCAGCTCGCCTTCCAGAGGAGTGTGAGCACAGGTGGGCTCCCAACTCCCTGGACCCCAGGGCTGTCCCAGTGCTGACTGTCATGGCCAGCAAACTGTTGTTCCTGGAGAGCCAGCCGGGGCCCAGAGCCACAGTTTGGTTCAAGACAGCCTCGAGGGAGAGAGCGCTGCTGACACTGTGTCCAGGCCTGGCCAGGCGGCCCCACTTTGGCCAGGGTTGTGGGGTGAGGTCATGCCCAGCCTTGCTGCCCTGCCCAGGAGGAAAGGGCTAGAAGTAGCCCAGGCACAGAGAGGCAAGCAACTGAGCGGGAGGGGGCACAGCTCCTGGGCCCCATCCCAGGTCGGGAAGAGGAATGGCCCGCACTGGAGCCACATTCCTCTAAAAGGGGCAAGAAAAGAACCCGTGCTAAACAAGCCCCGCCTCTAACCACTATCTAGAATCCAGCCAGGCCCCTCACTGCCCTTGACTTTCAGACCCCTCCACCCCAAACCCTCCCTCCAAGTGTCCTGGTAACTGCCGTGCACCCCCAGCTTAGGGCAGGCGGGCTGCACTGAGGCCCTGCCCTGCCCACATCACCCAGGGGCCCAGCCTCCACTCATGCCCCTCTGCAGTGACAGAAAGCATTTCACCGGGAGCAGGGCCTTGGGGGCCCTGGGGGAGAAGGTGGGCAGGACCCCACGGCCAGGGGAGAAAGGTGCAAGGAAAGGAAGCAGCTGATCCACGAGTTTAAGCTGTAGGATAGGAACCATTTACAGGTGGAGGTGGGCAGTGGGGACAACTGAAGTAGAGATTTTCTCTCCTGGAATTTGGGGGAGTTGAGAGAGCAAGGGGCCACGGGGAGCAGGAAAGCGGGGAGGAGGAGGGGGGCTGCGATCGGCTGGGTGATGCCCCTTCAGACCCAGGGTCAGGGAGGACAGGGCCCTGGGCTTCTCTGATGGGTACGAGTCGGGTAGGGGTGAGGTCGGCCCGGACCCGGACTCCCCGGAGATGAAAGCTGGGGGTAAGTGGGGTTCAGGGAATAGTTTCAGGGCCCTGGGCTGGCTTTGGGGGGCGCGAGGCTCCCCGCAGAGCAGGAAGGCCCCCTCGAGCTTGGCGAGTTCTCAGGTGGGAGTCACCGAGGGTCTCTCGCGGGCTCGGGCGCGGCCTAGGGCCCCCTCCCCGCCTCGCGCCCCCTGGTTACCTGGGCGCCGCGGCCCGGGCCGGG